TCAGGAGTTTGAAAGGAGGTGCAAGGAATTAATTTCAGATCTAGTTCCATTTGGAACAGATGATCCAGCTTAAGTAGTTTTGCATTTTGCTGTGACTTAGGTACTGTCTCTGCTTATGGTTTACTCTATTTGGAGTTTGATTTGTCCATTTACCTCCCACTGTAGTCGTCTGTGTCCAAACACTGCATCATGCGCATGCAGGTTGCAAGAATATTATCAAACTGTGGTTTTAAGGACCCTGGCTGTGATGGGAATCTCAAATGCAGAATTTGCTGTATCACTGAACCCTTCTCTTCCTTGCCTGACCCCCAGGACTGATTTGAAAATGAGACAATAATTGGAAAATTAGATTCATGAAATGGGCCCGAGCAAGTTCCCAATTTGTTCTCATGTGATTGAAATGTAGCTGTTATTGGAAAAAGGGTGTTTTCACTGCACACCATCTGTCATCTGCTCTATAAGCTTTACCTGGGATTTGGAAGTTCAGCTGGGGTCTTTCTGCCTTGACACAAGGCATAAGCAAGAGAGATTCTGCAATATCGGTGTAAAACATGGGTGAAGAGTCATTGAATCAGTCGTATAAGTGAAAAAGTTCTGGCGTTTCCAGGCTCCTTCCCAGGGGCTAGTACAGAAACTACCTATCAGGGCATGGTAGATTGATGTATGAGGAGGAAAGCAGAATTAATCTTGTTCCCTCTTTTCTCCTCCCCTATATTCCTCGCTGTGCTGGGTCTGCAAGGTTAGTAAAGTAGAATATGTTTGTGTCAAGAACGGGAGCAGATGCAACTAAGAGACACACGGGAACAAATACAGGGAGGAAGAAGCTGCTGTTTTTAGACAGCCGCTTTTCTGACTGAATGCACTTTAAGCACAGATAAAGTCAGCCATTCCGCAGGAGGTTCAGAGGAGGTTAGGCAAGATCCCATTGCAGATCCAAAGCCGCAACCCTTCTGCCTTGAGTCTTGGAGAGAAACAGAAAGCTTTCTGCTCTGGAGATGATTTGTAAAAGCAAGTGCAGCATCCCAGATTTACCCTCTTGCTAACCTTCTTGCTTACCCACGTGCTAGCATCATTGAACCGAAGTTGTGAGGCATTCCCAACCAGCTGCAGGTCGGCTGTTTGCTGCTGCGGTTCATGTGTTATTCACAACTACAGCAGAGGCAAGGGCTCGAAACGTGTTCTCCACGTGTTAAACTTTGATGGACAAGAAGGGAGGTGGAGGATCTGCCTACTCTCCTTCTGTATCAGACAGCAGCATAGTAATCCTGAAACAAGGACCGCAAGATGTTTCATTTTAAACTGGAATTACTTCAGTGTTGTGTGCTCACATCCTTCCTGTAGATACAGCACGGCCTTGAATGAATTCCCATCATGCTGTCAAGTCTGGTTATTTTCCTGTCGGGTCTTGCTGTGGTTCCCGCATAGATTCTTCTTTTGAACTGTCTTGTTGGCTTGTTTTTATAAGTTAATGGTACGGGGGGGAGGAAAATAAGAGAGTGGTACTTACGGGAAGACAGTTTGCATACACCTTGTCAGCAGGGCTGACCGCAACACAGCTGAGACAGATTAGCGCACCGATGCCTGCCTAAAACAAATAAACACCAGCTGTTTATCAGACAGGGCTCAGCTTCCTCCAGGAGGAGGTAAACAGATTTATGCAGATGAGCCTCCCAGGTGCCCTTGCAGCGCAGCGTCTTTCATGGCTATTCGGTCTTCTTTATGAGTTACAGCCAGGGCAGACGAGCACAGAGTAGATGCAAGGTTAGCGCAATAACACGGCCGCTCGGACAGCGCTGGGGAGGTTCTTCACTGCTTTGTGCTTCAAGCCCATATTTAACAATAATGCAGGATTAATCACAGCGCTGATCTCACTGCTAATGGAAGAATTTGATGTAAACTTCAGTATTTTAAGCCTATAGCATGTGAAAAAGCAATTTATTGTAACTCACTTATTATTCCATTTGTGCCTAAAATGCTATGAAGCAAAATTTATGGCTGTTCAAGGTTGAGGGAAATTGCGATCAGTAAAACTGTTTTCTCATTCTCCACTAAGATTGTCCAGTTGCTGTCTAACTGCTTGACTTCATGAGCTTTATTTTATTTTATTTTTTTAAATAACCATCAAAGTTTACTTTAAATCCAGCAGTGCTATATGAGTCTGCTACCTCAGCAGCATTTCTCCCTCGGTTCATCTCCTTCTGTCACAATATCCCCTTAAATTCTTCATACGCATTTTCCCTGAAGCTTCACAGGTGACCCTAACAACTTGCTATGAAATCTAGGTTTTGAAGACAGATGGGATATTATTTTAATAATGTAGACATAATTACACAGTCTGGACACTGGCTCTCAGAAACGTCTCATAATTTATTAATACGTTGTTGGGAAGTAAAACTGGGAGCTGAAAATTTGGAGCAAGACCCTAGGGAGTTCAGAAAGAGAGGTTTGCTTCAGTTCTCATGATGTTACCAATTATTAGATGTGTTAATAATTTCCAATACTATCACTGCTTATTCTGCAACAGTTTCCTTTTTAACTTTATCTCACATCAAAAGGGGCAATTCTATATTGCTGTTGGGATTCTATTTTTTTTTTTTTTTTTTTAAGTATGCTTGGGTTCCTCTTAATACATGATCATTTCCCTGCAGCTTTCTTGATTGCTGTTTATCGGGAGTCCTAGAATGCAAATACACGGTTTGTCAATACAGTAAATACTAGGTACTATAGTGATGAGTGCTAAAGAAATGCTTTCCCAGAGAAAGAGGGAGGAAAAACACACACACACACACAAAATAAAAAATAAAAACCAAATAAAAAGCCAACATCAAAAGCCACAACACTTCTCCTTACTCTATTAAGTAAATTGTGCCATTTGAGCTTTTCTTAGATTAGGACTTTCCTCACCTAAGTGCATCACTTGACATTTCAATATGTAATATTTCAGATTTCTCAAGGTATTCCTTAAACACCCAGTGGAAACAGGTGGAGAAAGCTAAGTCCACATGTGATTTGTTCTCTCTGGCTGTCATTGTGGATTTAAAACCAAAGTCATTTTGGATGTGCCTCCCGTCCTCTGCGTTAATGTTGCTAATATTAATAATATTGGTTACTAACAGTTTTCAGTCTATTGAACGATTAATGAAAAGGTCGATGGGAATTCTCTACAGAAGCATCGTTCATTACAAGGCCCATTGCTTATGCAATCTTGCTGCATCCATCTTCCCAAACAAGCAAAAGAGCCAGAGACGGCAGCTCCTTAAACCTGCTTGTGGGCTCCTAATGAGAAATCTTAATTGTATGAAAGCTATTAGGATGTTACTCTTCCAAGCCATTGGCTTGTTGATGCGTTGAGTTTTACCTAGGTTGCTGTGAGGCATTTGCTCTCCTGGGCTGGTGTCAGTGCCTACTGCATCAAACTTGGGTGACAGGAGCTGGTGGCAGGTTGTGAGTGCTGTTAGTGATGCCTCCCTGCAGCCAATTTGCTGACGGTCACCTCCATCTCTTGCATCTCCAGTGCTGCAAGGGAAATGCATCTGAGCTGAGGGGTGCATACTCCTACAGCTCCTGTGGCACATGGAAGGGATGGAAAAGCTTCAAAGGTGGTTCAGAGCAAAGATAAAGCCTCAGGGTGGGAATGGGAAGAGGGCATTATCCCATCTAATAAAACGGTTTGAAGAGACCTCTAATGCATCTTTTTGCTCACCAAGCACTGGAGGAGAGTGTGTAGCTCTCACTGCCCTGTTGTGACCATCAGGCTGAAGCTGCGGGTGATCTGTGCTACAACTCTCTTCAAAGGCAGGCAGTTAGCTCCAGCAAAGTGAGATTTAGAGGGATGAAGTTTTGAACATCATGCTTCCAGACAGTGCTGTGGTGGCTGTTCATCTCTATCTGCCTTCACAGTTCATTTCAGGATAAAAAAAAAAATGTTTCTTCATATTTTGAGAGGAGTTATATGGGCAATGCTAGAAGGGTGTTTGGAGCTTTGTCAGGAAGTAGCCGTGCCCTAGTGTCATCCCCAAACGAGAGCATGGAGACTCCCAAACTCTCCCTGCAATCCCTGACATTTAATCACAGCCCTGCATTTATGGAGATCTCACTGTAGTTGTTTTCCCTTGTACATGCCTAATACCTGGGTGGATCCAGCCTTATGAACAACCCTGTTAGCTGATGTGTGAACAGTTGGCACAGACCAATCTTTATAGGCTTCTGTATCCCCGCTAAATGAATAGCTATTGCTCTTTTGATTCTTCCTGGAACCTCAGTTGCTATTTTCTGTCAGTCCTCGCCATCCTAAATGTCAGTGGAAAGGATCATGGAAACTAATGGCTGGAGTTCATCTGTTCTGCCGGGGACTTTATACCGTGGTGACCTGGTTTCTGAGGGAACGGTTGCGCAGGAGATGGCTGCGGGGTCAGGGTCTTGCTACAGGGCAGGGCTCGGTGCTCCCAACCAGCTCCTGCTAGTGCCCTAAGGTGCAGGGGGGTCAGTGCTTCTTTTCCTCTCGGGAACTCTTTGACTTGCCAAAATTCAGCCTCGGAAATCTGCTTGAGTTTGGGTTTAAACTGATCACTGTTGAAATGCAAAATCCAACGGCTTCTGGGAACTCAACCTCCTAATCTCACCTGGCCTGGCATCAGAAGTATGCGACCTTTGCTACGCCTCACAGGAGATGAATTATTTCTGAAAAGATCCAGGTCTTTGTGGCAGATTTTACTCCAAAGGTTCCTCTCCCTGAGGACTAGGCTGCTACAAGCTTGCAGTGACGACGTGATAAACCTCAAGTACTTTCCTCGCAGATGTTTTGCATAAGACTAGCTCCATCCCAGAGATGGCTGCATTCTGTGGGTGGGTAAAAAGATCCTTGTAGATATTTTTGCAAAGCAATTTCAGATCCTTTGCAGCTTGCTAGAAAATTGAATTAGTTGTTTTCCATTCCCTGAATTAACCCTGATTCATTCTTCCCTCAACCCTCTCCCTCTTCCTTCCCCTCCCTCCAACAGATGTCCAGCATATTAAGAGGAGAGACATCGTTTTGAAGAGGGAGCTGGGAGAAGGTGCCTTTGGGAAGGTGTTCTTGGCCGAGTGTTACAACCTCAGCCCCACCAATGACAAAATGCTGGTGGCAGTGAAGGTAAATCCCGAGGGCAAATGGCAGAAGAGTGCAGAGATGAGCCTGCATGGGAAAGGGAGGCAGGGGAGGGCTGGGGGCCAGGGGCGGAGATTTATCTGATGCTGGAGGTTGTGGTAAATCCACTTAGTCACACAAAGTTTCAGTGTTTCGCTTCAAGATTGTCTGTTCTTGCCAATGCCAAAGCTCCTCTTCCTGCTGATGGGGCCGGGAGACACGGAGCTGGAGCTGGGCTGGGAGGTTTCAGTGCCGTGCAGCTGCAGCAGCGTGGTGTGGAGCCCACTCCCCTCTGCGAGGGACTGGGAAGCTTCTCTTCTGGGATTTTGGCTTTTTGTGGAACATACAGAAGATATGAAGAGGCCCCAGGAAAAATAAGCACCTGAAAGCTAAGCACGATCAACCGACTTGCTGGGATCTGTTTGCTGGGACAGCTTTGCTGCAAGATGAATTAACCAGCTCAGCTTAGTTTGTGGGGTTTATGGGGCCACAGATTGCTCTTCCCTTCGTGATTTTGAGCTGGCACTAGTTCAGTTTGACTTTCTCTGTGCTCTTTGCATCCTTGTGGGGCTCTTCACGTGAGCTGTGCCATACCAGCATGGCTCTGGGGCAGGGGACCATGGCAGGAGTGTGCTCTGCTCTCAGGTGGCACCAGGCAGCAAATACACAGAGTAATGCCCAAGAGTTGTTTTAATCATCAACAGCTTGAGCCTTTTTGCTTTTATTTATTTATTTTTTAGGCTAATTTGTCCCCTCATGCTCTGCCCATGAACTGCAAGGTTACAACTTCCACCTCAGAGACTGGTTAAGACCAGGGTAGCACAGGTACCCACACGATTAATTGCCTGATTATAGGGTTGGCATCTGCCTATCAGTGAGAGCTGTCCCTTATGCAATCCCGTCTCTCAGGTCTCTGCTCAGTTTCATTTGCATGTAGACAGAAACAACATCCAAACTTGTTTCTGCTAATTGCTATTACGAGCTTACATCTCCAGAGTGCCTTTCATCCTACCAGGTCACAAAGACCTAGAATCAGAGTGGGGCCCTGCAATCTGGCTTTTTCCCAGCTTAGGGAAGGGTGGGGGAGTGGAGTGGGGGGAATTCCTTCTAATTTGGACCACATTATCAGTCTTAGGAGAAAGAAGAAAGAAAAACAGAAAGGCTCTGTGTATAAAGTTGAGATTTGGCTGCATTTCATGAAGATCTCATGTTCCCAACAGAGGCTGAGAGCTACCTCCATGGTCACTGCAGCTCTGGCAGCTGCAGGACGTGCTGCTTTGCTGCTTTTAGGGCAACCGAGTCCACAACCCTGAGTCTGGAGCTCCCTCCCAGGGCCAGGACATGGGCAAAGAAAGTGGCTGCATGCCTCACTGGGCTCAATGGACTCAGATCTGCAGCGGTTTTAAAGATTGCAGCCCTGAAAATAAGCTGAGTTTTGATGTGATGGCACGGACAAGCTTCCTGTTTTATTCAGCTTGCTTCTAAAAACATCTTAAGAAGTGCACAAAAAGTATAGTCAGCAAAGAGTGTTGGGGTTACAGAGTCAAGCACCAGGAATGCTGGCAGGGCTGGTATTCAGGGCATGTTCTCCAAACACATATTTTTTCTTTTTTCTGTGGGCTTCTCCTTTGTCATGCTCACTCCGGTGTCTGAGAGCTCCCTAGATGAGTGCTCACTTTCGCAGCCTCCCAGACAAGTGCTGGGGTTGTACGATCCCCATTTTGCAGAGGGCAGATGGAGACTTGGGGAAATTGAGCTGAAACGGTCGGCTTAGCCGGAGGACGGAGTTATTGACCTGCTTTTCCAGTGCTCCAGGCAGCAGGTACCAGACCAACGCTGAGCCCTGCTGCTGCAGCAAACACACAGCACTTGGGGAGACCTGGCCCCGATCCCGCATGAGCAAGAAATTCCCAGGCAATGTCATCAGAGCTGACAATTGGTGGCAAGAGCTGCAACCTACAGATAGTGAGAGAACTGCCTGATAATTTGTAGCAACCTTGCGAAGGAAGCACAAATTTCAATTCACCCCAAGCCCTTCTAGGAGAGATATTTCTGCCTCTGGTTCCGCTGAGACCTCTGCCTCCTCTCGTCTTCCTCCTGTCCTCATCTTCTCTCCTGGTTCCACCACTTCCAGCTCGTTTTGCTTCACATCGAAATGCTTGGCTGTGCAACCTCAGCTATGTTTTTTAATACCTTATTCCGTGTGATATTTACAAAGTCACAGTCCTAACGCCTCGTGGAAATGGTAGCGTGTGAAGGAGAGGAAACCTGAACTCACTGCAACCTGAAATATTACGTGCAACTACAGGAAAAAAATGGAGAAAATAGTGATAAGGGAGGAGGAGTGTATTCCTGGAGGAAAAAGAAAAAAAGAAAAAAGAAAAAAAGAAAAAAAAAGGGTAGCATCAACATTATGAAGATATTAAATGACTAAAAGTAATTGGGTGCCTGAGATAAGGATGGATGCTTTGCCATCTGCGCAGTGTAACTACCATCCATCTAAATATCTCTAGTCAAGCTATCCCAGAGGACACAGAATTAAAATAAAATTATGCCATGTGTCTAGCAGGTTGGGGGCAGAAGAAGGAGATGAAGGAGTGTCCTAAGGCTTAGGTAAAAACTTCACAGGTGAGCTGCTTGATGGGGAAAGGCAGCTGCAGTGCTTTGCTGCGGGTTGCACTGATCTCAGCAGAGCCAGAGACCAGCCTGAGGTGCCTTAGCAGGGTGCTTGGGCTGTTCCTCCAGACACAGCTTTTGGATGCTCAGCACCCCTTTTTGCTCATAAATTAGAGCCAGCTGATGTCACCTGTCCTGTTGTCATGGGGAGATTCAAGGTGTGGGGAAAGGGGCAGGTGTGTGTGTGTAGGTAAGAGGAGAGCAACCTGCTGGCCCCGGCTGCTACAGGCGAAGCTGCCCAGAGAGAGGACTCAGATTGAAACTGGGATAAACTGGAACAAGCTGCCTTAAGTCTTTTTTGACTCCCATCGTGCTGCATGGTTAAAGCCCAACCTGGTGCTGAATAGTGGAGGATGGAGGGAATATAACTGAGATTCTTTGACTCAAAGCTACAGCTGCTTCTTCATTTCCTTAAATGTTTGTGAAGACAGCTGATTTTCATGGCTGTCCCATCTCGTCAAACATTCTGGACTTCAACTTTTTGCTAAGTGCTCACGACAGAGCCCTCCCTTGGTATCCTGAGATGACAACAAGCTGCTTTCAAACCAGCTCTCCTATGAAACTGCCCAATAATGCACGGACAAGACAGCCCCCAAGCATGTGCAACCCTCCTCAATCACCAGCTGCACCCACAACAGCATCTTCAAAGCAGCCCTACAGTGCTGGGCTGGAGCACACAGCCCGGAGCCTGCAACCTACCCTGCGATGGCAATCTGGTGCACTCAAATGTGGAAGATGAGATATTCTCCATAAGGATACCTATTTCAGCATCGGTCTGCCAGGGGAGCTGTTATAAACAGCAGGGAATAAAAACATGATTTTAAAAATTATGAGAAAATACTTGACAGTGTCCTTCTTCAGAGGCGGTTTGAAAAATCCACACAATAACTGCACAGCCAGGCAAATCCATCTTCTGAATAAAGGTAGTATAGTCAGCTATTTCAAAGTAAAAGACGGATAGCAAGGACTGGCTGGCTCAGGAATTTAATAATAATGAGATATGAAGCCATTCACCCCTAGGTCACCAGTACGAATCCTGCCCAAGCTGGGAATAATTGGAAGCTATTACCCTCTGAGGCATGTTTGCTGCTTCCTGGGAAATGAGCCGGGGAACCCGCTGGGCTGGTAAATACATGAACAAAATGCTGAGGTGGTGCCACCAGCATCCACTGCCCACCCTCCCAGTACGTCTGGTGGTGGCAGTGGTTCCTATCCCCTTCCATCAGCCCCTCTATGATGCCTCAGCCACTTTGTTCGGGCTTTGCCCTGCCTGAGCCCACCCCATGCGTGTCTGTGTCCCTTCGTTCAGGCGCTGAAAGACCCCACCTTGGCAGCCCGCAAGGATTTCCAGAGGGAGGCAGAGCTGCTCACCAACCTGCAGCACGAGCACATCGTCAAGTTTTACGGCGTGTGTGGTGACGGCGACCCGCTCATCATGGTCTTCGAGTACATGAAGCACGGGGACCTGAACAAGTTCCTGAGGTACGTGCGAAGGGGGACAGGGGATGGGGTGCTCCAGAGTGATCGCAGTCATCTGGGTGTTGGTGGGCTGGGTAATGGGAGCGGGTGGTTCAAAGGAGATGGGGGTCCTCCCTGGATCTGGTGCTTTAATAGCCCTACCCCAGCATTTCCTCTTGGGCAGTCCCAAGGCTTGTCCTCCAGGTGAGCTGTGGAAACCAGATGGTTCTTCTCTCACCCCTGCAAGGCTGGAGGTGCAGAAAGTGGGGCTGCAGTCCCTCTCTGCCCTGTGAAGGTCCCATGTATCCATGCCCTACAGCTCCCGAGGCTGGGAGGTCACCAGCCATGACTCCCCATGTCACCCAGCTTCTACTTCAATAGCACCACAACCAAAATACTCCCTAGAGAAACTTTCCGGAGCCCTTGATCTGATTGCAGTCCGGGGCATTTACTGATTTATAATTCTTATTTCTGTATTCAGAAAAGTGATGAGAAATTTTGGAGGGGCCTCGGGCAGTGACTGCACGGCCCATCCCTGGTGCTCGTGCCCTAGGTCTTATCAGACAAAATGTCCTAACCTGTGGCACCGTGCTTCTCGAGATGCCTGGCAAGGCCAGACCAAGTACCGTAATTGCCTCCCTGTCTCTAGAGAGACACAAATTGCTAGATTCCCCCCGCCCAAGCCATCATTCAGCCATCTCATCAGCACGAGGCAGATGGTTTGTGTGCCCTGAATCCACCAGTGGCGAGGGGCAGGGAACAACAGTGGGGAAATGTTTGTGGTGTTGTTCTCCCCTGATACCGAAATTACGCTCTGCAACCTGCGTGCAAGTGGAGTGGTACTTACCTCTTGAAATAATTAGTAGTTTTATTTCCCAGTATTTAGAAAATTGGACCCTTGATATTTTCCTGCTTTGACTGTTAAGTGGGAGCATGATTGCAGTGGGAACAAGAAGCTTGAGCACCTCAGGTCTAGATCTGGGGCTGGGATACACTCTGAATTTATTTTTTCATCATCACAATCTGTTTCTGACCAAGGAAAACAAGAAAACAAATCATTTCCTGAGGTTTTCACTTCTAAGCAACCACTCTCAGCACAAGAACCATGGGGAAAGATGCCAAATGCTTCTTCTTTCTTCTGACAAGCAGAGCCAAGCTGTCTGCAGATCCCTTGGAGCACCCACAGGGCAGTGGCCGGGGACACCCTTGCAGTGGTTTTCCCCCTCATTTTGGCATAGTAGTGGGTAGATCGAATAGAAGTTTATAGCTCATTCCCTGTGTCATGCCCTGGATAGTACAGACTGGCGATGCAGTGTTAAGGTCAGAGCCTCAGCCTCGTGACCGAGGGAAGCCACTCTACAGCAGAGCGTGAGAGGCCACGTTCCTCAAGTCCTTCACTGGGAAGGCAGAAAATTGACCCATCTTTTTTCCTGGCAGAAGCAGCAGCCTTATTCTCCTTAGAGGAGGTAGATACTACAGCTGAGGCATGGCCTCTTTCGCTGCTCTAATTGACCTCCTAAAGAGACCAGCCCGAAACTGGTTCTCCTAGTGTCTCTGAGGGACAGCTCATGCCTGCTACCACTGCCTCATTTAATTGACCACACAGTGATGTGCTCCTAAGGCTGGTGCTGCAGCCACACACCACCACACCTCCACATCCCACCCCCGCCATGGAAATGTCCAGGTCTTGGCCCAGTACTGGGAATCTTCACATCTATATGGAAATAAAATCTTGGGCTTTGTTTGTGAGGTCAGCTACCTGCTCTGCTCACAGCAGCATTAGTGGGAAGCTCAGGGGGATGAGAGCTGCAAGAGGGGTCAGTGAGTGTGGGTGATGCGGGAGTGCTGAGCACCCCTTGGCGAGTAGCAGGTTTTATTGTGGCATGATTCACCTAGCCCATAGCAGACAGCTGCCCCCAGGCATTGGAGCCAGGGGCACGGTGTGTCTGTAAGAGACACTCCGGTGAGCTCTTCCCAGTTTAACTGCAGAAATTGGAAAAGCTATAAAATGGAAGAGGCTGACTTTAGACCCAGCTTCCCGGAGAAAAGCACAAAAAACAAATAAATAAATAAATGGGTAGTGAAACAGGAACCTGTTGTGAAAAATCGTGCCATGGAAAAATACGGACATTACTCTGCAGGCAACACAGCATCCCTAGGGCTGGTGTACGTGGTCTGGGGGCTCCCAAGCACATAGGTCTGTGCTGGAGGGTCTGCCACAACTGCTCACTGAAAATCCCCATCACTTTCTCATTTTCCTTCAGTCACTTGTTTTCTAGGTTTTATTGTGTTTCTGTCTGTGGCAGCAGCAAATTTGTTGTGGGGATATGTGCATGTTGCCATTACAAGTCCTCTTTGCAATCTATAGTAAGTTGTTGCCATTTGCTGTTACCTAAGACAGTATTTTTTGTTTGAAAAATTGTGTAGTTCTGAGCTTTTTGTGTCAGTCCTTCCAGGGGAGCAGCCCCACAGTCAGACTGCCTTGGGACAGAAAGAGCCCTGGCAGCAGAGGGAGCACAGAGAGAGGTGATTTTCCTCCCCACGTTGACAAAAGCCTCTATCACACCCTAAAAGAAAAACAAAACAAAACACCACTATTCTTTGGCAGGGATCTACCCAATCCTACGACCTTTATGTGAAGCTGAATTAAACCCCTTGCTCCAAGAAGAGATGGGCAGATCCCTCTCGTATTCTCTGCAGATTTTTTGATGGAACTAAATGCACTAAAATCCCTCCTATTAATCTCATGAGTGTGTTGATACTTCTTTATTCTGGACTATACATGAGATGGAAAAAGGGATGGAGGGAGGAATATGGATTTTGTAAGACATATCCAGATATCTCCTGTTATAGTAGGGCGTAAAAAGAACCAGGGAAATAAAGGCATTGGCTGACCATTTTTTACACGTGACCTGTTCCCTTCAGATGCAGACTTCTTTGGGGACAACTAATGTACTTGAAAAAGGTAGCAGTAATAAGAGAGTAATATATTCGTCACTTCTCACCAAGGAATATTTACCCTCAATGACACCAGGTATAATTTGCAGCTAAATACGATGTAACTGCAAGGCACAACTGGTATAAACTGTCCAGCACAATTTTAGGAGCTATTTTTGTCCTGCTTTGCGGTTTTTAGTTAACCTGCTCAGTCCTGGCTCAGCTTCACCTGCTGTCAATATCTGTGGTCACCACCAGGTAATTTCCTGGGGTAAACTGTAGCCCAGGAAAGGCTGTTTAAAACCTTTGAGTAGCTATTTCTGCAGCCTCTCCTTGTGTTTATCAGTCCTTCCAGTACATGGCTGCTCTCGCCATGCCCAAAAGCTTCTGAATTTCCCTGGGCAGCCCCAGCCCTGCAGCCTGCGGTGCTGCTCCCTACCTGCCCATGCCACACTCGCTGCAGCATCACTCACTTGTGGCTTCCCAAAACACTCCTGGCCCTTCTGCACTCATTTCTGGAGTTTGTCTCCTCTTCCAGCTGTCCTGCAACCAGGAGGGGACCTTCGGAACTGTGTACCCGAGCGCAGAGCAGTGGGAGGTAGCTGAAGGCAGCATTTTAACAACTGTTGGTTGAACCCTGAATGCCTGGATGCTAATTCCTTGGTGCACCATAAGCCCAACAGAGCAATTAGGAAACAGAGACAGAGGAGGGGAAACAGTTTGGGTCTCAGGGGTTGTTCAGTCCTGTATTGAGAAGGAGAGAAAGTTTTGCACCTGCATTTCAATTCGGTAGCTCTCTGCGGAGTTACTGCTGGTGGCAGGGGTGAAACTCCAAGAACCATTTCAAAGAGAACAGTGTGAAAGCCTCAGAGGAGATGCTGTGCTGCGTCTTAGTCACAAGGAGGAAGGTCACAGCAAAATCTCTTCCTTTTCCCTAAATATGAGGGCTTTTGTTATTCCACCTTCACAGAGTCCACTGCAGGGTGAGCTCCACTGGGGAAGAGACATCACAGAGGGAGCAGGACAAGACAGGCTTGGTACTCAGTGAGGGAGGGGATAAGAAAAGGGGACAGGACAGGGATGAGGCTGACCTTAAGTCCTGCATTTACAATGCACTTGGTTCAGCAGAATATTTCCTTTTGTTGCCCAGGATGTTCTCTGCTTCTGCTGACATCCAGGTCTAACCTCTGCACCTCTACCTGTGCCTTCACAGTTTATAGCACCTGTGTTACCTCTGGGATAGCTTAGGGTATAAAAGATAATTTCCAGGGATGAAGCTGTTGGAGTTCTCCTGAAAGTTTTCATGTGATCTCTGGTTGTTTTTGTATTGACTGGGGGGAGATTGTTTGGTGATGTGTTTGGATGAAATTGAGGAGGGTGTTTGGGATTAATAAAAAGGGTTGGCAACAAGAACGGGATGGCTGTGGAAGAAAAGAGGGTTATGTCTGCACATCTGAGAAGGTTTCAAAAGTGTAAGAATTAACTAGAGCGAACATGTAAGTATCTGGAAACCCATTAGTTTTGCACAGGTCTTGTCGGAGAGAAGGATGGCCATGGTGCCTCAAGGGCCTGCTGTCCCAGCAGCCTGAGGCCATAAGAGGTTGAAGACAGAAGAGTAAAGATAGGAGAGGGATGTATGGCACATCCTCAACCAACAAATGTTCACCCAACCTCCCGTTCTCTTAAGCTTTCCTTTCTTTCTTCCACTGGAGCTGTGTGTGCATCCTCCCCCTGCTGAGCTGGGGGCTCGTCCCCATCCCAGCAGCACCAGTGACCGTGTGGGATCCCCATCTCCTGGTCATTTTTGAGACCCAACCCTATGCTTTTTGCTTTTTCCTCCCTATAGGGCACATGGCCCAGATGCTATGATCCTCGTGGACGGGCAGCCTCGACAAGCCAAAGGGGAGCTAGGGCTATCCCAGATGCTCCACATCGCTAGCCAGATCGCCTCTGGAATGGTGTACCTTGCCTCCCAGCACTTTGTCCACAGAGACCTGGCCACCAGGAACTGCTTGGTCGGAGCCAACCTGCTGGTGAAGATTGGAGACTTTGGGATGTCAAGAGATGTCTACAGCACTGATTACTACAGGGTAAGGCGGCTCCAGCGGCAGTGCGATGCTCAGAGTGAAGGGAGACTAGGAAATGTGACCGTAAATCAGTTTGTGGAGCTCTCGGGCTACACACTTGGTTATTCCCTCAGTGAAACATGCACACAGGTGTCCATCAGGTACATCGGTGTGTGTCTTATCCCTGAACCACTGTTCTCACTCCTTTTCAGTCCTGGGCATGCTTGCAGTTCAGACATCCATGCAGATGCCTACAAACAGAGCTCTGTGATACCCCAGCACACAGCCACAGCCTCTGGGATGCCTCTGAAGTCATCCTGATCTTCCTTCCTTCCTATTTTCTTCCTCATTTTTTTTTCAAAGACATTGATAAATTAAAGGTAATCCAAAGAGGTGACAATGATGATTAAAAGACTACAGGCTGTGACCTCTTGTCTTAGATTAAAGAAACTTAATGCAGGGACCTAGAGAAAAGGCAACTGAAAGACTGACTGATAAGTGCATAAAATATGGAAGAGGAAATAATAGGCAATTTAAGTTCAACCTCAAAACACTTTTTCCAGCAGGGACATCATTTAGACAATGGAATAATTTGCCAGAGGTAGGTTGCTGAGGGCCTGTCATTAAAGAAGTTCAGGAAGCAGCTAGATAAAAACGCCCGGGCTTAGTGCAGAAGCTAATCCTGCACTAGTCTCTGGGGACTGACTCGATGAGTCAGGAATGCCTTTGCAGTCTTATCTCCTGTGATTTATGCTCGCTCTGTCCCCTTGCCTCTCACACTCCCTTTGTGCCTGTTGGCACTGCCCTATCAGCCCAGGATGGCAACGTCCCTAGGGAGAGAGTGGCATTGTCACCCGTCCTCTGCTGGAGGAGAGACCGGGATGAGCAAAGTGTTGGAAGCACACTGGGGCAAGGATCTGTGGCTGGGCCATCCGCCAGCAGGGAAGGGCTCTTCAAAGAAAAGAGCAGGGGTTTCTTGCCTGGTGCTTGGTGTAAGGCTGGTTTATTTCTGATTACAGCATGGATGTCTGGCTTTGAGGCTGATTTCCATCAGCTACCTTAAGAAAGGGTTAACCTGTGGGCTTGATCTGATTGGAAAGATTTTCTGTATGTGATGGGCAGTTGCCAAGAGGAGCTGGGGAGGAAGAAAAATGTGATCAAGTTTCTGCTGAGACTTATCACCTCTCCAAGGCCAGGACATTGCCTTATCACTGAGTTTAATTGCCAGTGAAGGAACCGATATTCCCTGTGCAGCACAAAAGCCCATACTGGGAAAAGGTCTCAGAGGACTGCTGGGGCTATGGTCCCATCACCACAGAAACTTCAGGAAACAGCAAGTAGGGAAAAACAGAGCCCAGGGGAGGAGGAGAAGCAGCTTGTGAGACTATCCACACTCTTGCTTGGGTTCTCTCCTTCAGCCATGTTAGATCAACCCCTACTGCAGGTGATATCCTGCTGCTCGAGACAATCCCAGCAGAAGCTGTTTACCCACAGCACCGAGAGCTTTCTGCAATGGGACAATTGGCTGCTATTGCCACAGGAAGGATGGGAGGGCCCCCAGGAAGCGAGAACTGCAGAGAACTTCATTAGGCCAGCTCACCGTAGTGGGATTTTTTGTCTTCTCTGTGATGGTGTCCTGCAAACCTCATCCTGTCTGTGCAAAACACTGTGCTGATGATTGCTCCGTGCTCTTTTGTGCAATGTCATAAGGCTTTTCTATTTCCTAGTGGACTTTTCTCTGCTCACACAAATGCCATGCATGCCAAACCAACAACTAGTTATCACCCATGTACCAGAGCTACAGCTGAGCTTCAGAGCAGCACAGCCCTGTGTTCTCAGCTGGTTTTCCTCTCTCTGCTTTCCCTGACTTTTGGTACCTTAAAAACTCTGTGCTCTGCACGCATGGAGACCTTTTCTCTGTTATTGTCCAAAGAGGGATTCCAGCAAATTAAGGTTTGATTGCCCATATTTACTTTGGTATGTGCATTTATTTTCTCCTGTAAACATAGGTAAGAAAAACAATCTGGCTTCACAATCATGCATTTCTGCTCTGTCTTCCTCACAATTTTAATTCCGAACACCCCTGGTGTGAAAGCTGGTTCTTCAAGGCTCCTTAGACAATGCTTTCAAGTACCCAGACCCATCACAAAATCCACCAAGATACCCCAAGGGAGGGCTTTTGAATGGATAGAGAGAACAAATGACCTCAGATGTGAGAACCAACCTGCTCCTAGGTCCTCCCCATGGAAGGTGGAGATGTGGCTGAAGAGCTGAACTTTGAAACTCTTTTGTGCTCTCCCTGGTCCCATCCACATGTGGTGCAATTCCCAGGACTGATCCCTAGAGGTTGTGCACATCCCTTTACCACTGACATAGCCTGCTGCTCCCAGTGGAGCAAAGTTCTTTTTCAGGTGATTTTTATAAAATACATCCCAGTGTACCCAGGCTGGAGGGTGGGTGGAACGCCACAATTTGTCATCTTCTGGGAACACTGTGAAGGACTCAATTTCGAGGCCAATGCGAAGTGACAGGCCTGGAGCTCTCTGCAGATGCACTCACTTCAGTCTGCTGGGTCCCTCTGTCTGCTCCTGCCCAGCTGCTCTGGGCCCCATGAGCACAGGGACATGGGCATGTGGATGTGTGAGCGTGTTCCAGGCTGAGGATTAACTTCTAGGCATTTCCTTTCTTTCCCATTTTTAATCTTTTAAAACAAAGAAAAAACACCATCTGGCTCCTGCATTTGTGGGATGCAGAAGTGCTTTACAAAGGTGAACTGCTTAATTTCCTGTTACACATTTGGATACAGAAAACAAACATTTGCGTAACAAAAGCAGCAGAGAGGCTTGTTTCCTCTCCTCTCTCTGCCTCTCTATCTGCCTGGAGACAGATGTGTCCTTTTCCTCGTGCAGCACAGAGGAATCCCATCAGCTGCTGCCTTTAAACCTCATTTCAGCGAGACAGGCTGGAGAGAGGATGGTTGTGGAGGTGTAGGCAGGGGAGAGGTGAAATGGCATCTGATTAGAAAGCAGAGGAAGATGGAAGTAGTGGGGAGAAGTAGCCCAGCAGGGCTGTGAAGAGAAAAGGCAGGGATGCTGAAGGAGCACTTCTGTGACATGTTGTGCAATGTGCCACGTAAGCTTTGGCTCTACGGGAACACAGGGCAGAATATACCCATACTGGAGAGAAAAGGGTTGGGAGGAATTTTTTCCCTCACTTTTCCTTCAAAACCATATGTGAGTAGGGGCTTTTTTAGGAAGGTCAGGCACGTGGAGCCTGCCCAGAGCCACCCCGCCGAGCTGTGCTCTGGCGATGTCCAGATCATTTCCCTTTCTTGCCCCAGAATGAGTAATGCAATTCCAAAACGAAGTCATTTGGCAGCTGCCCAGGGAGAGGACAGTATTTCTTCATCTGTGGAAGAGAGCACAGTCTTAAATCCTAGTCAACAGTCCTCAATAACTTCCAAGGTAATGTGCTGACATGGGTGAGACATCGGCAGTGAAGACACGGGTTGAGTAGAAGAAGGATTTATGTAGGAATTAAATTTCATGAAGACAACCCCCTGTCCGGCTCTGCTATGTGCTGCCCTTCTGGCAGCCTGTCCCGAATCCTAGGCTGGGCTCAAAACCCCATAGGGAATTTAGGGATCCTTTTCCAGAGATCTGTCCTGAGTATATCCAGGCCACTGTTCATCATGCAGAGGACACTCGCTCATCAAAAAAATAAATAAAATAAAATAAAAAATGGCACATGCAGGATTTGCAAATGGCTCTGAAAATAAATTTGTATTTCTGGCAATGCAGAGCTAAACAGAATAATAAAACCCACCCCCCACTTCTGTGTCTTCACCACTCTGGAGCATTCTTTGGATTTGGGTGAGACAAGGGTTGCAGGAAGAGGCAATATCTTTTATTGGAACATCTGATATTGTTGGAGGGGAAAAAAAAAAAAAAGAAAAGAATGAATTTTAGACACATAAGTCCTCTCTGAGCTCTTTTTTTTTTCCTTTTTTTTTTTTTTTCCTTTTTTTTTTTTTTTCCTTTTTTTTTTTTTTTCTCCAGTGATATCAGTTGGTTTAATAAAAGATTAATATCTCTTCCTATGAACCTTGGCTCTCACATCCTTAGACCATCAGTGCCAAAACAACGTTTCTGCTATGACTTTGGCCTTAGGTCAGTGTTCTTTAAAAACTCTAGGATTCCTCTGGCAGATGTCTCCTCCTCTGAAGCGTGAAGGTTTACTCGGTAAATGTTTTCTTTCTTCTCTTTAGAATGGCTACATAAAAACCATATTCTTTATAATTTGCAGTGCCCCTTGTCAGGCTGCCTTCTGATGACCATCTCCCATCTAGACCATCTCTTACTTTATTTCTCCTCCCTGGAGATCAAAATTGTTTTCTTTTTTCCTGGGCTACAGTCAGCTATTTTTCCAGCGAAGTCTCCACGCAAGTAATAGATCGCTGAGGTTTAGCAGCTGCCTGGGTCATGCTCCTTTGGAGGCTCATTCAGCGTGGCAGATAAGACTAATAGACAAGCCTTCCACTGAAAGCAGATTTAGCCTGACCCACACCCTCCTAGACAGAAGGTCCCTCAATGACCACGGTGCTCTGTCCCCACCAGCTCTGAACCCACTGCAGAGGTTTAGCTCTGCCCACCAGCATTTTCTGTGCCTCTATGCCAGGGCTCCTCAGTGCCTGTGTGTGTGTTCCTTGGTCGTGCAACTACTGCTTTCCTGTCCTCCAAAACTCTGTTGCTTTGCTGTCCATCTCACGCAGCATGTTTACAGCATGGGGGATTGATCCTAGTGAGGGAAATTGCTGTCCAGCCCTGTTAGCATCCAACCCTCTTCCCCCAGTTGTGGAGAGTGCAAACTCTCTGATGCAAGCCCTGGAAAGGAGAGGCTGGCCCCATCACCTACAAAAGGGAATGCCAGCAGGAGAACAGGAGCAAGCTCAGTCCCCGGCTGTGCTGGCAGTGCTGTGGGGTCTTGTGTATAGGGTATAATATGTGTGCCACATTCAGCTTCCA